TTGTAACCATTACAACAAACAATTGAATATTAGAACATAGATTGAAAATACATAAACTAAGAAATTACTCCAAAGGCATGTAACAATGTTATTATTTTTAAAATTTTATTCACTTCCACTGATGGTGTGTAGTTAGAGTTACAATAAATAAATTTGAAAATTTAATAAAATCTTATCATTTTTGTGTTTTATATTGACGAAACTAATTCAGTGGATACTCATTGATGTATGGTAAAATTATCTAACTCTAAAAGACTTTTTCTAGAGTAAAACATAAAAGCAATTTATAGAAATATTTGGTAAAGAATGAAACATTGAATAAAAGTTGTTTCTCTTTGTATATAAGAAGTGTTTGGCTCAAGGAAAGTGAAAATCATTCCTTGCAATTTAAATGGTTACAATAATTTTACAGTGTTTGGTATGTAAAAATTGAAAAAAATATACTTACAAAGGAAAAGTCATTACAACGAGACAAGGGAATGTCACATTCCTTATGCACAGTTGAGGGAAAGTTAAAATTTTTTTCCTAAATTATCCTCAAGTTATTCTATTTCCTTATTCTTCTTCTTCCTTTTCTTCTTCTTCTTTTACCTTTCTTTAAGTCGATGTTCACTAGAAAATATAGGTCCGAGGAGGAAGGTAAAAACAAAGAAAAGAGAGAAAGAAGAAGAAGAGAAAAAAGAAAAGTGGAGTTCTACGTGTAAAAAAATTAATTTTAATTTGTTGAGTAAAATAAAAAATAATTATATGTTTATAAATTAATTAGTTAACTAATTTATTTATAAAATAATTTAAATTAATTAATTTAATTTTTTTAAAAACTTAACGAGTTTATTAAAAATAAATATTTAGTAATTTTACATATTTTAATATTATTTTTGTCATGTTATTACTTATTATTTGAAGAAGTAAATTGAAAAGTTAGAAATCTATATTAAAAAATGTAAATTTATTCAATTTTATTTTTTTTATTTATAAAAGTAATTTTATAAATTTATATTATATTTTCAATAAAATACTTTCAAACCAAACACTACAATATAATAGTTCTAACTATTGCATTCCTTACAATTATCACTTTCTCATATTATATTAAACATTACAAAATTATCTACTCAGTAATTATATTTTCAGCAATCACCTATCTAACAATCACATTGCCTTCAAAATACAAACACCACCATATATTTAACTAGAGAAGTCCCTGCCACCAAATGCTTATTTGTATAGACAAATCTATTGACACAATTGTAAACGTTAATTAACATCATTTAATTCCAAAAATTAAATTTAAAATAATTTATTATTTAATTAATTATAGATAATTAAAATACAAAACCAATCAAGGTTTGTAAAGTCTAGCCATGGTCAATTTCCACTTTAGGTCATTTTAGTCCAACTATTAAGGACTTACTCCTTTTATTTAAAGAACACTTTTTTTTTATTTTTTTCAATATAAGATTGTGTCCCATACTTATTATTTATTAAAAATGTCGAACATTGAATGTCATATGAAGATGGTAGGTGAATAAAAGAGATAAAATTTATCTTAGTGTAAGAAGAGGAAATAATCAAATGCCAACAAAGGGTTGATATAATAGTTAAAATTTATTTAGTATCAAGAGAAAATGATAGATTTGAATAATTTTAAAAATGGTAACCTCATAAAATACAACTTATCTTGACTTGAGAATAAACAATTTATTTACTAAATTTATATAACAATAAATACAAAATGACTCTTATAAACATATCATATTTTTCTACTCAAATTTTCAATCTTAACGAGTAAGTAATAACGAAAAAAGTAGCTTTGCACAAAAATGTCTTCCTTCTCCTCTTTTTCACAGAACCTGCCTAATGATCGTGTCTACATCAAGATTAGAAATCAGGTTCTGACTCTGTCTCTTAATTCCTATCATTCTTTTTTATTTTTACTTTTGGTGTTCTAAAAATATTATCAAGGTCGATTCTACCATTTTTTGACATACAAGTGGACTTTTGCAAATTCAACATCAAATTGCTAAGTGAAAGAAAAATATTTTTTTATTATTACTACAAAATTAATTGCAATTATTGTTATTTTAATAATAAATTCTTATTATTAGAAAAGTTTTTTTTATAATTTTATATTAATATATATTTTATAAAATAATCAACTTGTTTTTTTAATATAAATTACATCTTAATTATATTTTATTGTTAAATTAATAATTTTAATTTTTTCGAAAGACATTCTTTTATTAATAGTAAAAGCAATAAGCTATAATAGTTTATTGATTTATTTAAATACAGCAAGAGATTTTAATTATTACTAAATAATAAATTTATTAATATAATATATATTTATTAATATAATATTAAATAAATAATATATATATATATATAACTTTTATACATATCCTGAGATAAGGCAAACCTAAACCCACCTCGAAAGTAATTTAAACTTTTTTAATTTAAAATTTAACTTAACTTTGACTCGATCTTTGATTTTCAAACGATAAAAATTCATTTTTATTGAATTGAGATGAGCTGAGATTCGTTGAATTTGAGTTTTTTTTGACATCCTTAGGCCCAACCACCATTTCTCTTGCTTGTTCATATAATTATAGGCGTGTTCGTATTTTAATATTGGATTTGTTTGTGGAATTAATAGAAATTAATATAATAAGTTTTTTAATATTAAATTGCCCATTTACATTTTAGGACATATTGTATTCATAAATATGTGATATTGTTTGCATCTTAGCATTTGATTCAATAATACACGTGTATATGCATAATTGCTCAAAAAATATTATTGTTATTATATATATATATATATAAAGATTTTATTTTTGGTACAGTTATGATTAATTGTAAGCAGTTATAAGTATATTGTACCCTTTTTTTAATATTCAAATACTAGAACTTTTTTTTTTGGTTTCATTTTTCATAACAAAAGCATTGAAATTACTCAGATATATATTTATGGTGGTTTTTGATTTGTAGAATTTGAGAGAAGTATATTACAAGATGAAGCGAACCAGCCAACTGCACAAGCTGATGAATGCTTATTGCTCCAAATATTCACTGGATCCGAATACTGTCGTCTTCTTGTTTAAGGGTCATTGCCTTCCTGCAGATCAAACGCCAGAACAGGTCTCATTTCTTTCCTTCTTTTTGCATCTCCATTGACTGCCTCGTTGCTTGTTTCTTAATCAGCATATACTCCCTACTTAATCAAACAATCAGTTGCTAAATAAGTACTTAACACTTTGATTATAATTTGATGTTTTTTTTATAGGTCGGGATGGGGGATGTCGAGGAAATTGATTGCATATTTCGTCAAATCGGAGATCAAGAAGTGCAATTTGCATTAGGGAAGTTTATATATCTAGATGGTGTATGGTACTTGCTGCCTTCTTTAAATTATTTTTCAAGAGTTTGAATTTAAATAAATATATTTAAATTTGAATTGTGTAAACTATTAAAATCTCACTATGATTAGTTCATAGTAGATTTCAAATAATTAGTGATTGAGCATACATTCTACCGTGCTATATCATTGAGGTTTTATATTTAAGGTTTGAGCTTTTCATTATTTGTTTAAATTCAAATATAAATTCGTACATATGAATAAAAATATATTATATTCATGTATATAATCTTAGAGGAAACATTTATGCATGGTAAATATTTATATTTTGCGTCATAAAAATATAATATAATAAAAATTTTAATTTTCAGTAAATTATCTACGAATCCTTGCTATTCATGCATGAGAAGGTCAAGTATCTTTTAACTTTTCATGTAGTAGTTAGTATGATCAATTCCTAACAGATTGGTTTCTCCTGTTTTACAATTTTGGGTTGTTGATTAAGGACGTGTTAAATCAAATTAATTAGGACTTTCCAGGGTTTAAAAAGATACATAGAACTAATTCTCATATGTTTGACAATGATGAAGTAATCACTCTCAAGGAATAGCCTTTTTAGAGTCTCTTGCTCGCCCGCTGTGTAAATGATCCCCCTACACTAACCAATTGCAACGAGAGATAAGTGAATTCTCTGCTTATTAAGAAGTAATACTAAGAACTTGTTCGAAGGATAATGATGCCTTCCTCCACAGCTAAGCTCATGAAACTTGTGGCTTTGGCCTATGATAATCTTCGTTTTATCTTTTAGCAACTGCTCAAGTTGTGAACGCGATACAAAGGCCATGCAGATGATATTATTGTTCGCGATAAAAGTGGCTCAGTTGATAGTAGATACAATGATGAGTTGAATTTTACATTTTTGTATTTAATAGTAAATTCAGAATTTTACAATAAAGTGATTTAAAGATGATTATATAAAATTATAAATAAAATCAATAATTTGATTTGATTATTTCAAAGCATATTATTTAATTTGATTAGAAATGATGAAATTATATATTTCAAATTTTATACTTATAATAATATAAAATTAAAAATATGCTATTTGATTTGATAACAACTCTCAATCCTTACCACCATTTTCGATCCATCCCTGTCTGCACCTAAGGTAATGGCGAATCAAGTGGCAGTGGATTAATAATATTTGCAACCATCAACCCTTTCAGCCCTTGTATCTGAAGTTTTTGTCCCACTAACACACCACCAATTCATGTTGGACCTTGCATTGGGGTATTTGTCCTAGCAGTGCTTATGCCCCCTTCAATGTATTGCTCTGCTTGATATCGTGTTTGGCTTTAGATCAAAATTAATATATATAAATAAACTGATTTAAGTAAATTTAATATGTAAAAAAATTAAAATATAAATTAATTACAATTAAAATAAAAACTACTTAAAATTAATTAAATCTCGTAATTTTGTAGTTAAAAAAGCATACATAAAAAGAGAGAAAAAATAAATAATTAATAGAGAATATGTTTATGTTTTTTAAGGAGTGAAAGTATATTTTTCAACCAAAACTCACGGTCAAAAAATCTAATGTTAAAAAATAAATAAATAATTAGTAACTGGTACCGTCCCTCGTCGCTAGCTTCTCCTTTGCTCCTTCCTATCCTACCTCCTAGTAAAATTCTTCCTTTCTCCCACCGTAATTAGAGCGAGCCAGCTTACATTGCCAACATCAATGGCAGGTTCTATAGGTGGAACTGGTTCGTCCAATCCCTTACCAAATCCTTCGGCTCCCAAAATCCTATTAGCCAAGCCATCAGCCGGGCCGGTCCCTGGTAAATTTGGACGCGGAGGTGTTGAAGATGAAACGGCGCCACACCGGGCCCGTCTCCCTCCCGTTGGTTCCCTCAACCTCCTCTCTGATTCCTGGGAGTTCCACATCGATCGCTTTTTGCCCGTAAGTTAAAAAAAAAGAAAACGAAATTTCCATTTCTTTTCAAGTCTTTATGTTTTAGTTGGATGCAAAAGCTTCAGATGCAATGGAAGTGGAAATAGTAGTTTTAAGCTTAAATTATTTGCGGTTTTTAGGCTTTGTATGATTGTTTAGTTTTTGCTATTTGAATTTTTTTTAGCAAATGGTAGAAAGTAAAACTATAATAAATTCTCGGACTAAATTTAATACGAGTTGGAATAGTACATTGTGTTTTTTTTTTAAAAATTAATTATTGGTTTTTTTTTTGTTGATTGCAGTTTTTGACTGAGAATACTGATTTTAGGGTGATTGGAATCATCGGTCCACCAGGTGTAGGCAAGTCAATGATCATGAATGAGCTTTATGGTTTTGATGGGATCTCACCTGGTGTGTATTCTTTCATAATTTAGTCTCTTGATTCACTTCTTCAGTAAGCAAAGTGAAAGTGCCTTATTTTTTTGCACTAAAAAATTGTTTTGATTGTTGAGTTAAATTTTATGGTGAATTCAGATTTCAACTGTTGGGAGAAATTTGGGACAATACAGAAATTGTAGTTTTGTGATTATACTATGTGCATTCTTTCTGAAATTCTTCTTGTCTCTGTCTATTGCTACAACACCTTGAAATACTGTGCACAACTCAAGAACAGCTCTTAAACTTGCTTTGTTTTAGTTCTGCAGCTTTCCTGAATTTCTGGCACTCGTACCCTTAACTTCTAGCATTCTTTTGACATCATATCTGTAAGCAAACCTTAGTTGAGCCCTAAACCTAGTCCTACTTCCTACCACAAGCGTAAACCTTAAAAGCATTATTTTCGATGCCTAGCCCACCATAAATCTTAGGTAGGCAGACTTTCTCATTTGTTCTACTTCAAACCAATAATTTTGTGATGCATAAGGTATGCCTTTTAACAGATTTGCCCTGCTAGTTGGTTATGCTTATAACAGACAAAGTGATCTTGTCCTCTTCTGGAAGACTGATTTTATCCAAACTTAGTTTTTTAACGATAAAAGAGGAGGATCATTTGTTTCACTAATTGCAGATAGTACTTGAATGACATGCTATTGCTTGTTGAAGTTTAAATCTTTGTATGCACATGGCTACATCCAACAGATAACTTTACCTTGCTAATTTATAGGTATGCTACCACCTTTTGCCATACAGTCAGAAGAGACTAGAGCAATGGCAAGGCATTGTACTGTAGGTATTGAACCAAGGATTTCTGCTGAACGGCTTATACTACTCGATACGCAGGTTCCAATCTTACAACTCCCTTTTGTTTGACTGTATTCTTTTTCCCTTTTTATAGACCATATTTGTCAAACGATACATGTGTGTGTGTGTTTTTTTTTGAAGTATGTTATGAATTTCAGAAGTCTAGTTAAGGTTAAGCTATGAGAAATTGATAGTCTTTCTGATGTTACTATAAGGCTCTCTTGATTGGAGAAGATTATGAAAAAGCTCTTTCCATCAATATACTTTTTAGTGGGAACAAAGATCAGCTAGAAGACAAACTTGAATACATTTGCTGCAATTGTATTTGACTGTTGATGGGGTTTTTTTTTTACTTTCCATATGTTTTAACCTTGAAAGGTTAATGGTTAGAGGTCATTTCCCAAAATTGGTTAGGACCTGCAATATATTGACATATTCACATTGTTTCCCCAAGTGCACTTATAAGATCAAGCTGGAAGGCCAGTTTATTTATGGAGATTACTTAATCTAATAGGAAGCTTTGAGAAAATGAAGGTAATATGAACTAGGAAAAAGCTACACAAAGTCTTCTCAGTCCTGAAATTTTTCTTGTTTTTATTTCATGTCACCATTTGCCAGTTGTGTTAGGCCTTCTGGTTGAGTTCAATACCTGCTAGTTGCTGTTGCTTATTCTAGATATGTGTGCTTTCCTGGCATGGAGATGTTATGCATGAGCGCTTATATTCTTGTGTGCATATCTATGCGATTGGATTGGTGTCCACTTTAGGTTTGACATCATTTAATTCACACGTGTCTTTTTGTTTATTGATGTTCCTGCACTTGTACTTGTTGCAGGGATGATTGCCCTCAATATGCTTGATGTCTATAGTCTTTTCTCTCCTTTTCCAATCCATGGTTTCCGGTTTTACACACTGAGATGATCAGTTGGGAGGGGAGGGGAAGGGTGTTGGGGTGGGTGGGTGGGTGGAGGGTTCAATGCTGTTTTGCATGTTATGATGGTCATCACTGTAATTATTCTTGTCTTGCAGTCTGTTTTTAGTCCTTCGGTTTTATCTGAGATGATGAGACCTGATGGATCATCCACAGTTTCAGTACTAAGTGGCGAGTCCCTCTCTGCTGAGCTGGCTCTTGAAATTATGAATATCCAGGTAACTGAATTGCAAGCATTGGGTCTTTTATTATAGATATTAGTGTTGCACCTTTCTTTTTCATAATATTTTCCATTTTGCTAGGAGCCCATTCTGACAATAATTGAAAGTAAAACGTCTAATAATATTATAATTTTTTCTCCGCATGCTGCAAGGAATCTTTTTAGCTTGGTGTTCTCCTAGCATCCATTTGTCACATTTTGCTGGTGGTGTCTGAGGGAGCTCATGATAACAACATGTGGCATTTAATGTTGACGGTAATATTCTTGTCTTGACCACTTTACATCTTTATTATACATTCCATTGTGTCCATAGTGCTGATAATATGTTAAAATGGTAAATCTTTTTTTTTGAAATTAGTTAAAATGTTAATTCTTATCAGCAGATTATTTATGTACTTAGCATTTTGTTGTTGTATGTTAATAGTGATGCATTATCTAAATCAAGAAATCTTCTGGTGCTGCTGCTCTATATTATTATTGGATTGATAGATGATGATTAGATTTTCACTAAGCCATACGAGTATTTGTTGGTATTTTGCCATCTGAATGGAGACCCATCAATACTCAAGAATATCAGTGTGATGTAAAAGATGACCACTTAAGAAAAATGAAAAAAGAAAATGTCAAAAGGGATTTTGTTTGGTTGGTAGTGCTGTTTACGTTAGGTTTACTAATTTGGATTTCTGGTGGGAAAAACATGCAAGTTGTACGCTTGAAGGTGCTATAGGAACAAGAGAAAAGGCAAAAGAGGATGCTAGCGATTAGAGTAAGACATTACAGCTGGTGATTTAGAAGAGAATATGTCCCAAATTCTGTCTCCTTCAAATCTAACTATGCTGAAGAAATAATTTGATGTCTGGCCAAAAAAGTAAAGAAATAATCTGATTATATATGTACAATGGTTTCAACTCTTGCAACATATTCTTGTTTATGCTAATCATTTAATCTCTTACTCTCTCTGCAGGTTGACTTACTGAAACATGGCATTCCTGATCCATCTTTAATAACCCCTCCCCATTCACAGAGCTCTACTGTGGGGCCTGACAAAGAGGCCAAAGATAATGTTCATGAGGGTGAAGAGTATATGGCTACTCCTGTTTTTGTGCATTCAAAGTGAGTAATATTTTTCATGATGATATTGTTAGAATCATGTTGCAAGTTTAAGAATTGGATAATACTATAACTTAGTAGTCGATGATGCCTTGAATGACACAGCAAAGGAGAAAGACATTAGAAGTGTGAGGAGAAAATGAGAAATCATCTGGAGTGCATTTTTATTATTTTATGTCAGAACCACCTATATTGTCTACGTCACAATCTACATTTACCATGACTATTCCATTATTCTCACAATTTCCATACACTGACCACCACAAGCCTTGCCACTAGTATTGCCACTCCCACATCACTTGTCACCGCATCCAATACCACTCCCACTAATGTAGAGAACTTAATAGGATCAATGCTGCCTCTACAGCATGTTAAGTTTAACTACAGTGCTTTTGCAACCACTAATTGTGTAGAGTGAAGACAGCTTTTAGGCTTTCAGAAGTTTCTTGTGTGGTATTAACTCGGTAATGGTAGGTCATGTAACTATTGTCTATGAAACTCGTAATCTTGTTTGTCCTATTTTTGATAATTTTACCTTGTGCTTGTATATGGCTCTTGCTTATATAGGCCTGGCAGTGTAGCTGTTGGCTATATAATTGTACTTTGGACCAATTCAAGTGCCCTCTTCTAGGACCTATATTTCCAGGACCATGGTTATTTCAAGGTTGAACTAAAGCAAACCGCATAATGTGTTTTCAAAGCTCATTTTGGATCATCTCACTCTGTAATTTTGTCTGCAACTTACGAAGTACCAACAATATTGTGAACAAACAGTAACTTGTTATTGCCCAAATTACTTACTTATGTTGTTTTCACTTAATTGTTAAGACTCTTAAGGAAAACTATTTGTAAGTGAACATATTAAGGTGCATGATTTGGTATTTAATATTTATTTCATTATCCATATTACTCTTGCGCATCTCATATAAATTTTCTGAATATTTGTTATTTCAGTATTATTAGTAGAAAATCTCACAGGTACACTGTAAATATGGGTGGTCCTGATAATATACAGGATACATACTCAAATATTTTGGTTTCCTCTCGGTTTCCAAATCCATCCCAGAGGCCAACCCGCCAAGTTAAGAATGACATTTGTGAACATGTTGATCACCAGATCTTTCTTGTAAAGAAAAAACAAAAAACAAAGAAGTTATGACTAGAAAATAGAAATTTTGTTAACCCTCCCAGATATTATAGTTAGCACCATTATATAAAGATTTGATGGGACCCAATTTACATCTTCAGGTGTTTAGATTCTTTTATCATCTGACTCTGTGATTTCTGCATATTCCTCTTTTGTCTAGGATTCCTCTTTGTTTTCATCTTTTTTATCTCTTCTATACCTCTTTTGTCTTCATAAATCGCTCACCATTTTTTTTTTGTCTGTGCACTACTTAAATTTACGAGGTCCTTTTTTCTTTTCTCATTCTCCATCTTTTTTCAGAGAAGATGTGGTGCTTATGCTTGCAATTTTTTCAACTAAGCAACTGCTTTATTAGATCTATGACTATAACCAGTTTGGCCACTAGAAAAGAGTTTGTCTTCATTAAATAACCATCATCCATGAATATTCTCTCTTAAAACTTTTTGATGGTTGATATGGGCAGGTCAGGAAATAATTATTCTTCTTCTTTCTCCCTTTTTTCTTATATAAAATATTACTCAGATTTTTTCTGGGTTTTTACCACTTCTTGGTCAAGAGGGATGTTTGGCCTAGAGAGCTTATTGGGTCCTGGTTAAACTGGCTCAAGCAACTGGGCATGGCCAGTTTTTGAAGACATCAGTTTTCCTTTTTGAATATTGATGAATCTTGGCATATTGTGTGCATCATTTAGGAGTTAGGATTGTATTTTCTTTACTTTTTCCTTGAACAGATCTTAATGTTATTATATGATGAAATCATTCTAGAACTTCATATTCTTTATCATATTTTATAAGTATGTGATGAGTAGATTTTTTATTCTCATAGATACTTAAAGGTCCACAGCAGTAACATATCTATCCGTGTTCTTAATTTTTATAGGCTACGAGATCAAGATCTTTCTCCGCCTAATATTGTGCAAATGCAGAAGGCACTTTTACGATATTTCGGTTCCTCTTCATTTATGAGACATAAATGTGGAAATACTAAGATTAATGCTAAAGATACAGCACTGCTTAATTTATTTGTGATGCCATATAAGGATAAAGATGATTCTCCCAGAGCTGAGTGTGAAAGCTACGTCTCCTCACTGTGGAAATTACGGGATCAGGTCTCTTTTCACACATCTTTTTTCCTCCACCAGTGCCTCCCTCTGCTCTGCCTCTTTCTTCTTCTGCCGTCTCAGGAATGCAGCAATATTTTAACTTTTCATAAGTCAAAAGGTTTTGCTTCATGTTATCAGATTTATAACAAGTGTTCTTCACAGGTATTATCCATGAGCTGCCCTTCTTTTGCGAGGAATGTTTCTGAACGTGACTGGTTAAAAAGTTCTGCCAAGATATGGGAATTAGTGAAGAGCTCTCCTATAATTGCCGAGTATAGCAGAACATTACTAAGTTCTGGTTTGTTTAGGAGATAACCATTGTCATCACCTATAATTGACTCATGTATCGGGAAAACGAAGGATGATTTTCTGGATAGAAGCTAGCCTGTTTTACTTACTATTTTGTATGCTAATTGACCTCTTTCATGTCAAGCTTTTGAATATTGTATTGTAGTTAGGGTTGCTGAAAAGACTTGATATATTGAGATATAAATGTTGTTTCTATCAAGTGTACTCTGTCATCTGGTAGCTTAATTGCTAGCATCATACTTGAAAACATTGATGTTGGAATAGGATATGGTCCTTAAGCATGCTGTCACGGTTCATACCAACTTATAAAGTATTGTCTGCTCTGACAGTTTTGTGTCACAAAAGATTACTTAGGTTAAAGATGATGTGAATATTTAAAATATCCAATTTCACTTGACTGTTGAGTCCATGTAAGATCCATTACTCATGACATCTTCTTTGCACTGGGCTTAATGCATGATGGTTTAGCATGGTATTGTCAGTAATTATTATGCCATGATTAAGTCTGGATTCATGTATGATCCAAATTTATGCCAAGATTCTTTATTGAATAAAGCAAATGCCAATCAGCTATCATGTTTTTGCCCACAAGGATAAAATCAGGACCGAAAATAAATCTTATTTGACAATTTGAGACAAGTAAAATTGCCCCAAGCTCACGCTTAGAAACTAGTAAAATTCCAAAATTCCAAGGGAATATTATGGAAATGGAACAATTCATGATTCATTGCTGCTGCCTAATTTCAATCAGCACCATTTTCCGGGAATTAATCATAAAATAAAATAAAATAAAAATAGTACTATATGGATTAATAATTAATCAGCCGCATTATATATCTGGCCAAAAAAAAAAAATCATCCACGTTCGTCTACTAGCTACTAGCAAAGTCAACGTGTCCTTTAGAGACCATCATAACGACCCGAACAGAATGAATCCAACGGCTATTACTGGACTGTGAGTCTGTGACGGAAGACGATGTAAAGAGCCCTGTAAGATAGATTGTTTCGTTGCGGACTCCGAAATCAAACTAGTGAACCGCTCGGACAAGAAAAGCCTTGTCAACAATACGAAAAGAAGGAGAAGGAGAAGAAGAAAAGAAAGTCGTCAACAAAAGTGTCTTTATTCATGAATGACTAATTTATTTTTACTTAAAAAGTCTTTAATCTAAATTGCCTTGTAGCCACTGTTTGTTTTTCCTTTCTTCTTTCTCTCTCTCTCTTTAATCAGAAAGGTAACTTTTCTCTCTGTTTTCATGCAAATGGTTTGATCTTTTTTTTTTTTTTAATTTTCATTTTTACAATTTTTTTGGCTGTACATTTAGTCTCTCTTTGATCTGTTTTCTGACTTCATTTCTTTGGTTTGGTAATAAATTTCCATTGATTTTATTAATGGAATGAAATTTGAACTAATTTAGATACAAATTTGATATCGCTGGGAACTAAGTTGGAGTGAAACTAGAAAATCGATCTAATCGAAGTAACAGCTTTTTATCTGAAATGTTTCAACTGTTTCCATAGATTTCTATTTGGTTGCTGAGAGAAGATTATGGAAGAAGTTAAAAGGAAATTTTTGAACTAATTCGACTTTCAGCTGTGGTTAATGTAGAGATAGCTTCTCAGCTTCCAATTGCATTTAAAAGGGAAATTATATGATTTATGATAGATAAAAGGAATTTCAGATAGGTGATGAACGTTATTCTGTTAAGCAGCTTTGAAGATTTTAGGGGTATAGATTGGTTTCTCTGAGTTCAACTCTGTTTTCTTTTTCCGTTACTTCTGCTTGCTTTTTATTGCTATTTGGTTTTTACCAACGCAAGAGTTACCATAGATCAAAAGTCGTCGGTGAAACGCAGAATCATTCATTAAAAGTGAACAAATGACTAAATTGCTAATAGAATTGTTCCATATAGAAGTAAGATCGTTTATATTATTATCCCAAAGGTTAAAGCTTTAGTCTAAAATTTGTCAAAAGTATTGTTTGCTTTTGTATTCAAACTCTCAGTAAAATCATCTCAGTATGCAGGGTTTTCAATTGTTGAAGTTGATTTATGTCTTAACTCTTAATGCGTAAGCTGGAATAGAACTCTTTCTAAAATAAGCAGTACATGAAGCAGTAGAAACTTTCAATCCACACTGCCATGGCTTTTTATCTGTATTAGTTTCCAAAAAATGCATGAAATAGAAACTATGTCTTCTGGCTTAAGTCATATGTTGCAGTAAATCAAGTAGTTATATTTTCAATGCATACTTAGATGTTCTTTTTTGTTTCTTACAAGCTCATTTTGCTGTGATTATATTTTGAGGGATTTGTGTATAAGAAATAAACTAGTCTTTCCTGACGCTTGTAAAGGCATGTTTGTGTTTGGATAAAGGTACCAATTCCTCTGGTATGGGGAATACAGAATCAGGATATGATGATTCTCATACTGACTTTTGGCATCAACCTTCTTACGAACCTCCATCCCATGCAGGAAGTTCAATGGAACACATCCATCGACCTAGGCAGCAAGCTACATTTATACCTGACAATTTCAGCTCTTTGGATCAGGTTTTCACTGTTACTCTGAACTTTGAATTATAGATTGAGGTCAATGGTCATAGGAGATATTATCTGTTAATAGGTTTTTGGTTAATTCGTTATATGAAAAGTAGTCACTATACATGAGATGCCAACACGGAGCATATCCTGATAGTATAGTGAGTTCATGTTTTACTATAGTTGTTGACAGCAAGGCTTGTTTGAAAATCAATACTTTTATATAAAGCGCATTGCTAGTCTCAATTGAAATATGACCTAGTCTAGGTTTGAACTGATTGATTAAATTCAAACCTAGTGAAATAGCAAACAATCAGTTTTAGAATTGGTTGGTTATCATGGAAAGAATAATATGAAGCCAATTTATCTTGCTCAAGTCTCTGTGCAGATAATTAAAAACTAAATGCATTATGTATTGATGATGTTGATCATTATCGGTTTTCATCCAGCTAGTAAAACTTTAAAGGATGACTTGAATGGTTTGAAAATATTGAATGTAGGCCAAGGATGCACATTAGCTGGTTATTAAATACAAGAAGAGATGAAGAGGTTTTGAGGTAGAGCTAAGATCACATGTTGAAGCTGTAAAGAAGGATTTGACATCCATACAACTGTTGGAGAGCATAGTCCTGGATTTGTGGAATGAAGAAAATAGATGAAATTAGAAGAGTTAGGAAAGCTTCATTTAAATTCTAACTTTTTTCCTTCAAATCCAATATAGCTGTGACATAGCAGGACAGATAAATTTTTAAGTCCTTATGAAATTGAGCTGAACAAACTTATTGCCGTTATTTAGTAAAATGGAAACTCATTTCTTCCTTATTTGGTGCTTTTGGGCATTACTTAAAGGACAGGGTCAGCTTTTGGTAGTTATTGAAGAAACTTCAAAAGAGAAATATTAGTTTGAACTGAAATATTGGTATGTAAAACATTATGTATGACCAGGTACTTTCCAGAAGACACTATGAGTGCATATCACATTATCTTTCAAAAAAAAATATAGAGCTTGAAAGGTATCTTTAGCGGTTACAGGAATGGAGGTTCCTTAAATTAACTTGCAAATTATTTTTACTAAATAATGCATTTTGAACATAAAATCACGTAATATAATGAAATTGCTGGACTTTAGAGCTTAAAATATAGATTTAAAAGTGGGTATTAGTGATTGGGAACTGAATCAGATTGTGACCTTGAACTACTATTCTTTTGAGGATTTTGGGGTTTTAAGGAGTGGAAAAAAAAAAAAAAACAGAAAGAACGTTTTAAGAATTTTTATAATTTATTTTTCTATAAGCATGTGGCACATTTGGCAACAATAGTCCCTTTGGTTGGCTAACATGTCTTGACTTAAAACAAGAAAGGAGTATGAAACATTTTTTAAGAGATTATATTGTATAGCAGCATTTTAGTGATGGTTGTGGGCTGCAATTAGGTAGGCCATAGCTTCCTTGTATATATCTGAATTTATTTCTAACATACCCTTCTTCACTTGAAGTTCTGAAAATTGTGCATTTAATTGGTGATGATGCATCTATGGCTGGTTAAATTTTGTCCTCTTCAGAAGCCAAAGGTTCTTTGTTTAAAGAAGACCTTCTGGTCCAAAGGAAAGTTCCCTTGGTAGTTAGTAAGTCATTAGTACAATAGTCTATCAGTTTGATCAAGTTTTGGGTGTTTAGGTATATTTTTGCAATTTTCATGTTGCTGGAATGGGTCTTAGCCATGGTCCGTTGGGTCTAAATTTGGGCCAAGCTATTAGGGCTTTATAAGGCCCTTAATCTGCATAAGTTGCTCTTATTCCTAGCTCTAATGATTTTTTGAATCCTAGATTTTGTTAATCCTAGTATTTACAGACTATTGGTATTCCAGGCTTCCTAGAGTTTAGTTTTAATAAAGATGTAAGTTATTGAGAGTTCTTTTAGGAAACTTATGATTGTGTGATTGTTTCCTCTCTTCTTCTTTTTTCTCTGTATTTATATAAGTATTCTTGGATTAGTGTTCACAGCACAAGGACTGCCTCTTAAATTTGCTTTATACTACTACTGCTGCTTAAAATTTTCAACACTCTTTCCCTACATTTAGTCAAACCGAATTGATTCTTAAACCCTAGTCTTAATTCCACCATGGCCATAAACCTTAAAATGCCTAATTTTCTCAACCTAGCAACTGCAAACCGTAAGTAGGTAAACTTTCCCAAATCTGCTCAGCTATTATTTGTTCATGCAATTTTATTTAGAATTGTTAAGGTGACGAGTTGCACAAGAAGGTTCCAATGTGGCTTATTTTTTCTTTTTATTGATATAAATTGTTAAAACATTGTAACTAATACTTATTGTCCTTCAAAACTTAGAATATTTAGGTATAGCTACATGTTTTTGAGTTTGTATTATTCTATATTTGCTTGCGGGTGCGTTTGAGAGAATGATAGATAGCAAATCAACCATGACTGTTTGCACATACTTCTTGTCTATTAAGCATGTACATAGCTCTATTAAGAGACTACATATCAAGAACCTCAATTCCATGAATTGGGATTAATTTTTATGGAGATAATAATTCATTTAAATTCCTATTTTTAGTGCTCAATTTCCCAAGTTATGGATGTTCCTACTTTCTTAAGATAACAGCATATTAAATATGGTGCAATTAGAAGTATATTAGCTCTATGATAGTGACCTATTTCTCTAAAGATAAGAAAGAAAAATATGAAGCTCAATTTGGCCTTCTTGAAAAGAATTCCTAGCTCCAGCCTGGATGACAGCACCAACTTTTGCAACTTGACATACGGACATGTCCTGCAAAACTAAGCCATGATATTTTTATATTGCATATGTGGTATGTCTTCATGCATACCATCGTATGGTAAGTCAGAAACTTGAAAGTTGTTATAAAGAAATGGGGAAATCAATATTGACATAAAGTTTGAGGTGGATATGGGAAAATTGCATGATAATATCTTATTTGAAAGTGTTTAAGTTGGATGGATGATGGTTACTTGCTATGGGAGATGACCTAATCTTAGCATGAAAATTTTGATGGAGGGTTCGTTTGTTAAATGATGCAATATTGTAATATTGCTTGTGACAACGTAACCTCCCTAGGAGTTAAAGAAGTGTCAGGTAATACTCCATGTGGCAAAGAATACGTTAGTACTTCAGATTTAAAATTGGCATAGATTATAAGGGAAAAGGATATGAAAATTTAGAGGTCATTATACCATTAGAAAACTTGAAAGCAATTGAACTGCAATGTCATCTAATGATCGTACAAGATATAATTAGGATGCATTCTCTTCTATTTCTCAACTTTTTTATTCTGATTTATGAAAATGATGGGTCACTTTATGTATGCATGCATGCATGTATGTATGGTATTTATTTCATTTATTATATGTGTTTTTGAATGGAATATATTTGGTAACAAGAAGTATAATACACATGAATTAGGTTATTTCTGCATTGAGAGAGGCAGGACTTGAATCATCCAATTTAATACTTGGTATTGACTTCACAAAAAGCAATGAGTGGACAGGTAATCTCTGCCCCACCCGCTCCCTGGCTGATTCCTTTTATCTTAATTTATGGTTTTTATGAAACTGTACAAATAATTAGTTGCGAAAGAAGCTCACATTTTGTTGACTATAGGAAAATATTCATTCAACCGAAGAAGCCTTCATGCTATTGGTAGCTCACCTAATCCATATGAGCAAGCAATCTCTATAATTGGCCGTACTTTATCTCCTTTTGATGAAGATAATTTAATACCTTGTTTTGGTTTTGGTGACGGTTAGTACCTTTATATATTATTTGCCTTATGGTTTACCTCTTGAATTAGTTATCTTATTATGCTTGTTTTTGGGTAGCATCAACGCATGATAAATGTGTATTCAGCTTCTATCCTGATCACCGATCTTGTCATGGTTTTGAGGAAGCTCTTGCACGGTACAGAGAGATTGTTCCACACTTAAAGTTGGCAGGTTTTTGAAGATCTTCCCTTCTATTCTGTTTTATTGCTTTAAGAATTTTGCAGGCCATACATCATGTGTGATTTACATATCTATTGTTTTATTCTAATGCCTTCAGTTGAAGAAATTGTCATTTTTAATTTCATGGTCATCATCTAACTTTATTGCTTGGAAGATATTAATGCTCATAAATAATAACTAGTACGAAACAAGTTATTACTCATGAAACACTCGATGTATCATAAGTATGTAAAGGTTTTCCCTATTGGCATGAACATTTAAATAACGAATACGCACATACATAAACATACATATATGATCAACAACAACAAACTAAGCCTTTCACTTCAAGTAGGGTTAGCTATATAAATTACATAGTGCCATCGTGCCTCTGTACAAGTCCAAACCTTGGTAGACTCAATAGAAGTGGGATCCTTTTCCTAATAGCTTCCATCCATAACATTTTGGTCTTCCTTGCTTCTTGACATGGCTGTCCTCTATTGAATAATATCTTTTCTTGGGGGCATATGTTTCTTGTACTCATTCCCAATCTTATCTTTTCTTATAGGCATGTATATCCAATGTAACATTCTCATATTATCCATGCTTGTTTTAATGTATGTTATTACATCGTTTCCCAACATTTGGTCGTGTCCAAATTTGCTGTTTTAAGGATAAAGAAAAGAAGATTCTTGATATCAATTGGGAAAAAAGGGTGAAATTTTGAATAAAATTCTAGGAGATTCCTGCATTTATGCATATTTTAATTTCATAACTGTATAAATCTGTCTTAAAAAATTATCCTGTAGGTCAGGGACAGAGTCACGATTGAATGGTAGGTGGCCCATTGTTGTTTGAGTTAAGAGATAATATACAATATTACATAATTTTTTCTATTATTTTAAAATGAAAATTTTAATTTCAGTTTTTTATTCAAATTCTTAGTTTTGCTCATAATTTTCATGCGAAATGGTTGCAATTTTAGTTTTACAAATTTTTAATTAAATTCTGTAATGTCTTTTATTTTCAATCAAGAATGAATTTATTATCTACTTATTTAGACACATTCACTCGTGCACGCCTTATACACATTTAAACCTTATTTACATTGAATGTTAGAATTTGTTTGTATTTCTTGTAATCTCAAAGATATTTAATTCATACTAAATTTACTGTCTTTTAATCTCAAAGATCTTAGGTTGTGTGGTTCCCAATGTTGTCACGTTTTTAGCATTCTGTTTTCAGTCCAGACTTATAAGCCCGCAATGGTGTATGAGATTTCTCTTAAATGCTATGTGTTTGAGCTAATCCTTTAGTTACAGTCTTATTTAACCTTCAGAATGGTTGCTGAGATTTGAATATGGTAATGTCTTACCCTTGTACCAGGTCCAACTTCATTTGCTCCAATTATTTATGCCGCAATTGACATTGTGGATAGAAGTAATGGGCAGTACCATGTTCTTGTCATTATTGCAGACGGGCAGGTTGATAGAACATGCTTTGTGCACTCAGTCTTAAATCTTTTATCATGTATTCTTTCTCTTCTATGCATCAATCATTTGAGATGTTTATTTGATTTCATAGGTTACAAGGAATCCTAGCACACCACATGGAAGGTTGAGTGCACAAGAACAAGCAACTATAGAATCCATTGTTGCTGCTAGGTAAAGAAGTGCAACTTGTAGTGATTAAGTTTTTATCATGTTCTTGTTGTCTTGATCATGGCATTTGTTAAACAGCCATTATCCTCTCTCAATTATTTTGGTTGGAGTGGGTGATGGACCCTGGGACTCAATGCAACAATTTGATGATAACATTCCACATCGCAGCTTTGACAACTTCCAGGTATGCAAGCAGTGTCTTTGAATCAATATGCACAGAGCAACCTTTCTGCTATGAAGTTTACTGTGTATTTTATTTTCCAGTACATATATAATTGTTATTATTAATGTTGTTTCATGGGCACGCTTGGTCACCATCACAGAGTTGAGCCTGCAATTGCGATGTACTTTTTACATATAGTAATCTCTTTACAAAGAGTTGTCTAATCCAATTTATTTTGTGCTAGTAAGTGAAACCTCTGAAGGTGTTCTGTGCCACCATTTCTTTGCAGTTTGTCAACTTTACAAAAATCATGTCTGAGAACACAGAACCATCAAAAAAAGAAGCAGCCTTTGCTCTTGCTGCCCTCATGGAAATTCCATATCAGTACAGAGCTACCTTGAATATTCATTATGATAAGTAAGGCCATAAGCCAGCTTTCAGTATATCTTTAATTTCAGTTTGGAACAATTGCAAACATAAAATGGTTAAAACTTATGCAGTAGAGAATCAGTAGGTGGACATCATAGACCACTTCCACCTCCACGAGAAGTGATTGATCATGATAATGCTGTTCAATCGATCCCACACATGGCAAACTATGAAATAGCGGAACCAACAGCCCCAGAACAACCTGTAATAGGTTCCCAAGCAGAGCCGGTAATAGGTTTTCTTTTCAATTAAGTTTTCCTCCTTTTTGCACAAAATTGTATTCAAATCCATAGATTGGTCTTGAGATGTGCATTGTGTTCTTCAAGGTCTGCCCTATCTGCTTGACAAACCCAAAGGACATGGCTTTTGGATGCGGTCACACAGTAAGTGCATCTTGATCAAATTATAGAGTTTTTAGATTTCTATCACTAATTTAAAATACAGTGTTTGGTATGCATTTTAGGTAACTGCATTGGGAACATATTAAAGAGAATCTCTTCAAATGAACTATTTAGTAATATGCTTTCGCCTTCAACTTCTTTTCATTAAAAAGCTTTTTATACGAGGTTGGTGTTTGTATGTCTAGGTAGTTCTCACTTATTGTAGTAAACTTTTAGGTTGCTCTCTCTATTCAAAAAAAAGTATTGGCTATACAGGTCTAGGTAGACGCACTGGGAACATATTTCTAGAGATGCTGTTCTGATTTTGATAAGCAATAAGCTTTTCCTCAAGTACTTTTTTTCTTAAAAGAAAACAAAAAATGAGAAGTGTTTATTGTCACATACAAAAGATGCCCAATGCACCCTTAAGAGCAGCTACAAGTTCGAAAAGAGAGATAAGTAAAATGGAAAATGCTACAAGGAAACTGTCAAATGTCATATAGGAACCTTCCATGCCTCATGTGGCATGCTCCATGCCCTTAACATGCAATTTTTTTATCCTTTAACTCCCTGACCATCCTCAAGCTTCTGAGGAGCAATTAAGATCTTGGCGCAACTTAAGGTAACCTGATATATTTAGAAAGCCCATAGATTAAATTTTCTTGTCACATGACTCCACCACCACATCCCTCCATGTTTTTCATAAGCACATATTTCAAGTTATCAGCCATGAGCATCAATCGGAAAAGGACTTCATTCATCTTGTGTCATATTGGGATGCTACATGAGCATAGTGTTGGACTTGGTACTAATTCAACATGCTTAAGTACTAGTTTAGGTGTTGTTAGGTGAGACAGGTTACAAATTTGTCAAGTTTTAAGGTTCAATAGATGCAAATTAGAAAATTTTCTCGTATAAATCTATTTTTTTCTCATTTTGAATTATATTGTTAGCGCCTTAGCAGTCTTGAAGGATTTTTACTTCATCATGCCCTGAATTGAGTTGGTTAAGTGCCTATGAAATGGCTAAAGAAATCTGCCAGAAATCATAGCAGATGTTCTACAAAGCTAAATGGAATACTTTGTATGCACCTCTAACAGTTCATGTGGATGATATGTATGGATAACAGACAAATTATTTATCATATTTATCTTTTCTTGTTCAAAGACTTGCAAGGATTGCGGAACGACAATTTCATCATGCCCAATGTGCCGACAGCCGATAACGACACGCCTGAGACTGTTTTCCTGATTGAGAGAGGGCTTTCCGGTTCTAGTTGTTGAATGCTATGAAACATATCAGGACACCAACAACATCTCACAGAACAAAGCTTGGTTTTTCCTTTTTTCCCCCTTTCAAAGGTCCTACTTTGGAATATTTTGCTTCCGCATAGTTCTTTTCATTTATTTTGTTACATGTAATTGTTTATTTTTGCAATGTCTAGCAATATTTTAGAACTGGGTGGTTGGCGGATTGTTAAATCAGATTTTACTATTATCTAAGTTTTGACATAATATTAAAAAGTTCTCTGAATTATTCAGAAAAATTTGAATAAGTTTTAATTTTTTTATTTATGTTTAATTAAGTTTTAATTTTTTTATTCAAAATTAAATAAATATTTATAATAATTAATTAATTAATTATTATTAGTTAAAATATCATTAGTTATTATGTTCATGTGGTTTTTATGTGATATGCTTATGTTATAATAGGTGATGATATAATATGTTGATGTAATATAATGACATCATAATGTGGATTTCACTAGTGTTAAAATTATGTTAATGTCATGTGAATTTAAAATGATAAGTGATATATTGACAATAATAATTAGTTAACAATTAGTTTTAAGAATTTATTTGATTTAAAATAAAAATATAAAATCTTAATGAAATGTATTAGAAGATTAAGTGTTTATTTGAATTTCTTTAAATAGTTTAAGGGTTTTTTGAGTATTATATTTTAATTTTTTAAAAATATTTTAAATGTATTGAGATTTAAACTTTTGAAATTGTAGATTTTTATTAAATTTTAACTCAATGTATTTTTTTAAAGACATTCATCATATTTAATTCTTATTTCATGATAAAATTATATTTTCAATAACTTTTATGCTTCAATCAAAATAGTCGGTTGAGTTGATTGGGCCGGAAGCTTTGCTTTCATCAATTCAGTGGTTGATTTATTCTTTTATTGATGACTAGTGCAAGCGTCATAAATCTTATATAAGAAAGAAATGAGATAAATATTGAATTTATAAATATTTTTTTATTTCAAATCTTGAATATATAAGAGTATTGTTTTACTTAACATATATATTTTAAATTAAAATGTAAATATTTAATAAGTGATATTAAAATTTATTAAATTATTTAATGATGTGACTTAGTGCACGATCTTCCTCGTGTTTTCATGAGTTGGTATTTTTAATTATTTAACACATCAAACCTAGAGGCGAACAAACTTACGAGGAATAGCTTCAAAATGTTTGTGATTAGATCATAGATCAAATTTATGATTACATAATTCCTTCTTTCGATAGGGTTTTATTTCCTTGTCTTGAAAAATAAAAGCTAATAAAATTAAGATTTTTTTAATTTAATTGTGATTTAGTCCAACAAATTTAAGAACCAATGTCCACAAATGCAACCTAATTAATTTTTTTTCTTAGTTCAGTCCAACAAAATCAATTGTCATTATCAACAAAAGCAATAAAAATAATTTTTTTTATAATATTTTAATTTTTCGAGTTAGTTGCAAAATTAGAGAAAATAGAAGAAATCCAAGAAAAAAGAATCAAATCCATATATAAATTACAGCTTTTCTAGTGTTTTGATTTTAAAAAGTTGTTGCAAATTAATTAAGAAACAATAAATTTTAATCAAAGTTTCAAATTATGCTGACCCCTACTGATAATCATATTTATTTGATAAAAATAACAATATAAAAATTTAATTAAATATAATAAAAAATTAGTTTTTTAATTTTTTAAAATAATTAAAAAAAATTTCAAATATTAAACCTTTCTTAAATTCTTGTCCGAGGTCTTGACTCTAACCGAATTCCTATGGAATAGGAGATATGTAATATAGCTCAGCCAAAACGTCCAGTGTACTTAGCTATTAATTTTTCCAGGTAAAAAAATAGCATAGTTCGCGGGAAAGCTATTGGACTGTCTATTGACTACTTAAGTTAGAACATATCGACGGCTGAGAACTAAAAGATCCTCCAAACGTCCTTGACTCGGTGTATTACATAAGATTAAGTGTTGGTGTTGTTGTATTACACTTGAAGCAGACATCGATCTTACACACGGCGGAGAACGAACGGCCCAGCAACTTTACTCAAACTCCTTCCAGCAGCAGAATAATTCCTCTCTGCCATAAATTATAAAACCCTACATTATTTAGTTAAACTATAAATAAGAAAGAAAATAAAAAAAATATAGTACTAAATAAAACCCAAACTTTCTCTTTGTTAAAGTAAGACCCATTAGCTGGACTGCTTCCCTCTGTCTCCAGAAAGGGAAAAAAAAAAAAAAAAGAGTTTGAATTCATGAACCGGCGGAAGCTTCTTCTCAATGAGAGAGTCGAGGTAATTGCTACCGCTGGTTTTTTTTTCTTTTTAAATGGAAAATTTGATTTATTTTATTGTTCTTTTCTTTAATTTTCAGTTTTTTTTGTTCTGTTTGGTTTCTTACTAAAAAAAGAGAGGGAAATTTGATTCAAAATTGACATTAGTTTTATTTTTTGTTTTGATTTTTCTGATCCACCTGCAAGTTGAGAATTCATTCTAATTTATCCTGCATTTTCTGGGCAGCCAAACAGGAGACTTGTCTTGTTGTTTCTTTCGAAAATTGTGATTTCTTAGCGAAATATTGAAAAATTACATGCGTTTGAGTTGATTCCTGGCCGAAGCCTGGAAATCTTTTGTTACATTGTTTTCATTTGACTTTTTGAGACATGAAGGTTTCGAATCTGAAATTTCGTAATTTTCCCGCATCTTCTGAGTAACCACGCGAGAGCGCATTTTCGCTGGCGATTGTTAATTTTAAAATCATTTGTAATTATATTTTGTTAAAATTGAATTTGAGTAAGTGCATAAAATCTTTATTGGTTTTAATTACTTTTTGAGTGAGATACTGAGATTTGATTCGTGAACACAAATAAATGTTTCTTTTTCCTTTTTTAAATCACAGAAGAGCTAAGTAAAGGAGGCTAAGGCATATCCTAAGTATTTAATCTTATTTTAAATTAAAGAGAAGTTCCAAGCTAATATCCCCATTCTCTGCACTGTCAAAAAATTTCAGTGAGATTAAGTTAAAACTGGAATAGTTCTTAGCTTGAATATGCAAGTTCTTCACAAGTAATTATGCCTGTTTCCAAGTTAAAAAGGTTTTTTGTATATTTAGGTTTTTCTTTGAACCTATCTTGATTGTATGTAAATGAATGTTATGAGTTTTAGTGATGTTTGGTTCCTGTATTGATCAACTTGTTAGTTTTTTTTTTTTTTTCACAAAATGTTGCACTTATTTGGTTTGCTGCTGTGCCGATATGAATTCCATTGTGGCTTGTTTATAGGTTCGCCAGTTTGAGGAAGGTCTGCGGGGGTCATGGCACCCTGGGGTGGTTGTTGGTGTTTCAAACTTATTTCGATCAATTGAATATGATGAACTCTTGTGTGAAGCAGGTGACTCAAAGCTCATTGAGTCCATACCTGTGACGGAGGCAATTGAAGGTCTTCATAGCCGTCGCCACATTCCATCAACCTATCGTGGGCATATACGACCTCTGCCTCCCCTGTCTCAACCTTATTCTAATCAAAATTTGGGTTTTGGGGTTTGTGTTGATGCGTTGTTTGAAGATGCATGGTGGGAAGGTTATTTTGGATAATGATGATAATGCATCTGAGCGGTCTGTGTATTTTCCTGATGAGGGTGATGAGTGCAAATTCAGCATGAGTCAATTACGTGTAGCTCATGAGTGGGATGAGTTTATGGGCATTTGGAGAGAAAGAGGTGTATGGATAATGGTGCAGTTAGCGAAGGAGCTTGAAGGTGATGTTCCCTTGGCTTGTTGTGTAAAGAAAGTTTGGTCCTCCTTACGTTTAAATTATGGGTTCATAAAGATGATCTCTGAGTGGACTTGTGGCGTGCGAACTGTTTGGAAGAAGTACTTCATGGAAGTTGTTCAGGAGATTGCAGTTGGGTCAAGCCGGCGCAATCTTGCTAATCGCAAAATTTTGGCATGGATGGTAGGAAAGAAAGGAAATAAATTAAAGGATCCTGGGGAAGCAAATCCCCATTTAGCTGATACTTTCGTGCAGGCAGGGAGTTGCAATGATCTCAAGGCTGTTAAATCATGTCAAAAGGGAAAGGGAAGAGGTCCTCTTGGTAAGCACAAAGGTAGGAAACGGTCTGTAATGTCAAAATTGAAACATGAGGAGCTATCTACATTAAATACATCTACTAAGAAAAGTCTTCAGGCAGATAAATCTTGTGGGGAAAAGCAAATGACATCAGGTGTATCTCTGATAAAGAGTAACTACAGTATAAATGAGTCTGATCAGATACCTGATCATTTTTCTGATGCTAATAAAGAAATATGTGCTTCTGCTCTTCCCATACAAAAGGAGTCTGGTAAACTTGAATCTGAAATAGACAAGCAAAAGTCTCCTACAGTTTGTGAAAATGAGGGTAATCAGATCTCTGTTGACAGCTCAGGACGAAGTGAAACCCTTTCTTATGCTGTTTCTCATGTTCAAGACAATCAATCAGCCTGCAGGAGTTCCAGAAAGCATGGGCAGATTGATAATAATCTTGCTGGCATTTTTCCAGACTGTAGCAAAGTGCAGGTGAGCAGGCTAGGGTTCTTCTCTGTGATTCACAAGAAGAGAAGATCTTCATTAATGAGAAAAAGGATTTCAAATAAATATCAACGGCCAAATTTAAAGGTTACAAATTCATTGAAGGTGGGGAAGAGGAATAACAAGGCTTTTTTTGTTGTTTATAAGCTGAAAAATGATTCAGTGATGAGGAAAAGGTTTTCAAAGAAACCTAAGCAGGCTGATTCAAAAGTTGAAGCCATCCCAAAGAAAAGGAAGAAAGGCCTATATGCCATACTGAAAGAGGATGACTTAATTTCTGGTCATCATCATCTGAATCTTCCTTTTGATAATTGTGGAAAAAAAGTGAGGCTTAAAGACATGGTGTCTCGTTCTCGTAGGCGCAAGAGGAAGTGGCGATGTCGTGGCTCCCGACTGCGTGATACAATTTGTAGTGTCTGTCACTACGGCGGAGATCTTATTATCTGTGATCACTGCCCGTGCTCATATCATTTAAGTTGCATTAACTTCAAGGTCCATTCTCTTCCTGTATCATGGACTATTTACTCGTGTTTCTGTGGCTAATTTAATTGCAGTATAAAAACTTGTTTACAGATTCCACAAGCTATATACTTAGTAGCACATGCATTTTGATCTTTTTGGATGCTAAAATTCATATGGTAAAATATTGTGTTATATCGAATGCTAATTTTTGGTTTTTGGTGTAACAATAAAATTTTTTAGGTCTGGAAACAGTTATTTGTGTTATTTGGACCAGTGCTTTCCTTTATGCTGGGAGGATTGCGGTCAGGTAGATCATTAGGGTGCTAGAAGAAAAGGGAAGCTTCTGATAGAAACCTGACTTATGTGCAGGGAAAAGGAATCAGAAAAAGAACTAATATAAGTACTAAAATTAATTTAGGGGCTAGCCAGAGACATTTGGTTTTCCCTTTCTGGTACAAGGGAGTAGGTCATACTAACTAATTAACCTTGCTTTTCTTAAGCATTGCTTAATGCGGGCAGAAGCTGTTGAAAACAAGTTAAACTTTTGGTTCTTTAGTTAGATCATATACCTATAATATAGACTGCTGGTTTCTTCTGCTCATGCCAAACTTGATATAAACTGACCAAATTGACAAAATATTGCAATCCCCTTAAAATGGGCGAGGTTCATTGAATGCATGCAGAGCTTTTTATTTCATTTTATTATTATTTTTGAGTTTTTATTACCCTGCCCATCTGGTTACCTACCTGCGCTAGGATGTCTAAACAGACCTCAAACTTGTTTGAAAGAAAAAAAAATGCTTCTAGAACTCTGCTGATTGTGTACAATTGTGCATATGAATATGGTAAATTTCCTTCTGAAGTTTAGTATCTTAGAATTAATAAAGTTGAGCCCTCAGGACACAGTTGGCAATTAAAAATTTTTAAGGTAAAAAATGACCTATTTTATTATGTAATATAGGCATTTAGGATTTTTTTACTTTTTTTTTCTTTTGGGTTCTTGGCAGAAAGGTAACCAAGGGAGAGAGAAAGAGAGGCTGGTAGAGGGACAGGTAAAGGAGTGGGCATTGGTGGTCCCTTGGTATCCAAGGCTAGGGAATAGAGAGAGCAGCTCCTTCTTGAATTTAGTAGTAGATAAAACCTGAATTTCTTTGATTACATCAATAAGAGTGCTTTGTATGGCATAAAACCCTGATAAGATTAAATCCTAGTTATTAATTGACTCTTAGTCTTGGTTGTCCCAAAAAGGCATAAAACCCTTATAATTAAAACATGATACAGTATTGCAGTGTCATGCTGCTGTATTTGCTATGGTACCACTATAGGCCTTTTTTCTCCATGCACACTTTCAGAAAGTTTTTGGTTCCTGCAGAAGCCAGGATAAATCATCATTGAGTAAGTTTTCTTTGTGATTGGGTTCTTAATCTGTTCATTCAATTTGTCCTTAGAGTTAAGCGTGGCACTGAAATGGATGAGATTTGCTTTCTTTTTGAATACATAATACATTATTTTATGAAGGGATTGTGGCTGATATAGTATGAATTTCTAAATCCCTTAGTGTATATACTTCATAGTATTGGTGCATTAAATACGATTTGCGGTTCATTTTGATTGACTTTTGCATCATGTTTTTCTTGTTTCAGGATGTACCTAGTAAAAAGTGGTTTTGTCCATCTTGCTGTTGTGGACTTTGTGGCTTGAGAGATTCCAAGAGTTATAGTGAACAGTTTACAAATGCTTGTCTCCAATGCTCCCGTCAATGTGGGATTGGTTCATCGGAATTTGTTTAAATCTGTCATTTGTACCACCGATTATTTAACAAATTTTTATATTTTCTTGTAGATCATGTTACTTGCCTGAGTGAAGTTCAGAATCTATCTCCTGCAGAGCATCCATTCGAGAGTTTTTGTAGTGAGGCTTGTTATAAGGTATAATTCCCTTTATAGTGTCTAAGCTCCTTTAAGGCTGTGATTTAATAGCTTTTAGGAGCTGCTTTATCCATCCACCCTGATCCTGTATTAGTCTCTTTCTCTTTTTCATGCTCTAGGTTGCTTATTCAAATGATTTTGAAAAGTTTGGTTCGCTGAATTCCAGAATTGAGTTATGTTCAGGGTGTTTTTTCTGGATCTATTCGTGTAATTTTGCTGAATTTTCTTGTCTGCTTGAGTGAGACCAGGAGACTGAGATTTTTTTATATTTCAACGTGGTTATGATATAAGGCAACATTAATGCCCTTTGCAGTTGTGTTCTCAACTTCATCAACTTTTGGGAATTTCAAATCCCACTGCTGTGGATGGCTTAAGCTGGACGCTGATGAGATCGCTAAAAACTGTCTATAAATTTCCTGATATGTCAAAAACTCACACCTGGATTAAGCTATCCAGTGTACTAAAGGTTATCCATGAGTGTTTCGAACCTGTCAAGGAGCCTCATACCAAGAGAGATCTGGTCAGAGATGTTCTTTTCAATTCAGTGTAAGTTTTTTTTTTTAATTATTCAAGTTTGGAGATGATTAAATAAATACTGCTACCCAGAAGGATATATATTATGTAAGATCATTGCTAAATGACACCTGAATTTAGATCATTCTGTAATCATAATCCAGCCAGGGACTCCCCATCTTCTTTCATGGATCATGAAAATGTTGGCTTATTATCCTATTCTTGTCATGATTGGCGTTGTCTATGTTGCCAGATTTTACTACATGTTGCTTGCAATTTCCTAGATCAAATTTGAGGATAACAGATGTTTTCTACATGTCATTTGTGCCTAAGTTTATTGTTGGTCACAACAAAAGGGCGCCACACTCAAACTTGTATCTCTGCCTCAGCCTATGGCTCTCAACCACCTTAGCTAGGCCCTGGTGGCTATGTACATTTTTAAAATGGAAATTTCCAGCTATCCATTTTTCCTCAGCTAAATGCACATTTTAGAATCTAACATTTGTCAATTTTTTCATTTTAGTATTCAATCGATTGTTTCGTTCAAGTAAGGATTTAGCTTTTTGGATTTATCCATTTAAGGAAAAGCTATTGCAAAAGTTAGAAAATACAATTAGTAAGACTAATGATTGCCTTGTGAAGGTATTCTTAACAAATATAAATTTGAATCCCTTAATTCTATTAATGGTAATTTATTAACTTTTATCATCAATTTTTCTTAATAAATCAATCGAAAAGGTTGCATCTTAATTTGAATGAAATAATAGGTTCAATCCTCAAATCAAAATTTGGCAAATGTTAGATCCTAAAATTAGCATTTAAGCCTTTTTTTCTCAAGGAATTTAGATCTTATGAGCTTTGATAGGTGATTTGATCTGGGCCTAACATTGGAAGTAATAATGAGTGGTTGGTAATGTTTACTCTGTTTACTTATTTGCTTGATCATCCTTTGATGTTTCCTGGCTGGTCAATCTGCTGGTTTGAAGAACTTGGGTTGCCATTGGTGGTTAAACTGTTCACAGTGTTATTCTGTAGGCCTGCATTTCTGTTCAAACAAAAGGGTTTCTGTATCTAGTGTTCTGTTCTTTCTAATGCTTCTTTTTGGAATGGTTTTAAGAGCTTACATTAATTCTCCTTTTGAGTCGCTTTCTGTTAATTTTTGTTGGACATAGGACTAACACTTTCTGTGTTGGAAATAAACTCTTTATGTGTGTGTGTATACGTATGTGTATATATATACATCCCCCTTTAGTTAAAATCCTTTTAAACCAGGCACAGAGGAAAATCCTGTTACTTAGTCATTTGTAAAAGCTGGATCTTACATTAACTTTTGGTTACTGATACTTATCCTCTCTCTTTTTGTCTGACTCATACTCTCATTGAAGTTCCAAACTGAAACGATTGGATTTTCGTGGATTCTATGCCATGGTTCTCCATAATGGTGATGAAATTTTATCTGTAGCCACAGTGAGGTAACTGCTTTCTTCTCTTTTATTTTCATTTTATAGAGTGTTATGGAATGTACTCACCCATAAGCTTCACTTTCATTGTATTTGATTTTCAGGATCCATGGACTCAAGGCTGCGGAGATGCCTCTGATTGCTACGCCTTTCCAATATCGTCGGCAGGGTATGTGCCGACTTCTTTTGCAGGAGTTGGAGAAGGTAGTTTCCTTGGACCTGCTCTTCCATGTTTTAGGTTTGTGTGGAAAAGGGTCAAATATTTCTATAGTGAATATGAATGCAACATATTTTCATTTGCAGCTGCTCACTCAATTGGGGATTGAGCGGTTAGTCCTGCCTGCGATACCTCAACTGAGAGAAACATGGGAAAAGTCCTTTGGTTTCTTGGAAATGCCTCTTTCAGAAAGGCTGCAATTCTTGGGCTACCCTTTTTTGGCCTTTCAAGGGACCATAATGTTACATAAATTCCTTAAAAACTCTATGAATAATAAGGAGATGAGAGGTACCACTTATGGAGCTTGCCTTATTATTGAGAGACAACTGTATATTTTAACATTTATTATTCTTTCCTGGCTTTCTTAGTCATATATTATGCAGGAAAATCTCTTGATTTGGGAGGAAATATGTCAAATGTCGGTATGGTAAGGCTTATCTTTTGTTTTGTGTCTTTTATGCCATTAATATTTTAATATTTCATTTTAAGGTTCCATAAATTCACAACCTTGTTTTTTAAGCACTTTGTTCTGGATCTCATTAAATTAGTGTAAGCTGTTTTTATGTTAATATATATATATATATGTATGTATGTATGTATGTTTGTATGTATGCATGCATGTATATGTATATGTATATGCAGTTTCTTCAAACTTCTTTCCCCATATAATTTACTTTAAGAAGTTGATTAATCCTACATATTTCATTTGGGTCCAATTACGAAGTTTTTGTTTTGTAAATCAGTTGTCTATCTGCTGGTAATTTTAGAATTTGAACATTTTATCAAATTCAGTGCTAATGCCGGTGTTCTAGTTGTCTTGATTTTACTAACAGAATCTATTTTTTGACAAAAGTTCTGATCTTAATCTTGTTTTAATGTTGTAGAAGCTCAAGCAAGGGTCAGATAGCAAGGACAGGTTCTGTGGCTTGTTTTACAAGCGTAGGCCGAAAATGAAAGTTACTGGGAAAGAAAATTTGGTCAACAACTGTGGTGGACTCACGCAGCTTTCTGAGAATTTGCACAAGCGGAGACGAATACTGGCTTGCAGAGATTGAAATACTGATGAGGTGCAGTAATTAAGAACTCAAAGGTGAACATCTATCTATACTGCTTTTAGGCACTTATTTTGTTCATTACTGTCAGTGCCATTGCAGTAAAATTTCAAATATAACTAGCGGACTATAGTCACCCATTTTGTTTATGTGACTTACAAACATACAATTTGCACCATTTCTTGAATTGTGCAATTATGAGCTGTCTGACTTGCTAATATTGAACTCTCACCAGATTTTGAATTATGCAAACTCTTACTTCTGATAAACAGAATACAAAGATTTTTGAATAAGATTAGTTTTTAAAGATAGCAGTATTGATTTGTATCTCCATTTAGCAGCTTTTTCTCTACTTTAGATAGCTTCTGTCTGCATGTTATTTTACTGAATTTTGATGTAAACTTCTGTTGGCAAATGGGAATACATATTCCAGTTGTGTTCTATTAGCTGTTGCTCATGGGATCACATCCATTTGGTATCATCCAGGTGATCCTGTGTGCCAGTCATCCTTTATGTCAAATAAGGTATTATTGCATAAATATTCTTTTAGTATGATTAATCAACCCCAAAATTATCATTGTTACTACATCACCCCTTAACATTGATGTTCAAACAAAATTAGCCATACGATATAAATGCACATATTTATACTATTTACTGTATGTAATAGATTAATATATAATAATTGCATAAATAGCAATATGAGGTTTATTATATAGAAATAAATGTATTAAATGTATGTGTATACATATTGTCCACACATATGTATAACCATTTCTGTATTATAGGAATGTATTTGATTATACACTTACATATACATAAATCAAATTAGGGGCAATTTTTTCATTAAGAAAAGATAGTTCATTTTGTTAGAGGTGAGGCTCTAAACCTAACTTTATATCAAACAAGGTGATAAAGCACCTTTGATGAAATCATTAATGATCTAAGATTATATCATTGGTGATAATTTATTCTTGAGGTGATGAATTCATTCAAATGATGAGATGTTGAGGTACATCAATTACCAAACGAAGTTGAGTGCTTACCATGGCAAATAGGTTTCTTTCTAATAATACTCATTGTAGCTGATATACAAGTTTGTAACTAAAACTAGGGCAAAAGATGCATTATATTGAGTAGACCGAATTCTTACTCATGTGACTTGATGTGATTGAGTTTGATATTCTGATAAGAAAAGGTATGCTTCTCTTAAATATTCTAGCGTTATACACACTGAATTTTTTGAGGCTAATGGCCTATGTCATTTGGGTTTTTCTATCCATGATTATATATATGAAGGGATGAACTTGTACTTGATACTTTGAGAGCAAGGCACGTGGGAACTCTGTTCTAGAGATGTGGATGGTTATTTTGGATGTCGTGAATGGTAACCACGGTTTGAAGTGATATTCTTTGAAATCATTGCTATGGGCCTAGTTTGAAGTGATGTATTGTGAATGATAACTCATTGACCAAAGTAAGAAAAAGGGATACTAGACTTTGCATGCCTTTGCTTGTCTATATGAACCATGGTAGGACCTTTGCATTGATTTTGTGGTGGGTTGCCTAAGGTATTAGAGTGATTTGACGTTATATTTTTTTGTGGTCGATAAGTTTTAAAAAGTAGCCCTTGTATGTTTGAAAGTATCTTGAATCGATATTTCAAAGATTATCTCTCAAGAACTGTGTGTGCATAGCTTGATTGAAAGTACAGCCTTGGACCAGGATGTGAATTCACAAGTCAACTTGTGGGAAATTGTGGTAGACACTAAATAGCAAATTCGATGTTGATACCTCGGAGTTTTTCCTTGAAGAAGTGTGCTTGCGTAATTTGACTAAAACTATGGTCTTATACCAAGATGTAAAATTTGTAAGCCACTTGTTGATATAACTGTTGTAGACATTGAATATTGCAACAAGAGTTGGGTGACCATACTCATTGGGATGAAGTTTTTCATGTTCCAGAATTTGCGTGACTGATGGTGAGTAAGATTGCAGGCTGTAGTCCAGAGTTGTTATTTCCCCATTCATTTGATTCTTTATTGCCCACCCATGCTCAATTGCTGAAGCAATGATGTTTGCTAGCTACATGTTGCAGATTCATGATGAGTTACCATATTAAGTGCAGATTCGCGGTATCTTATCTTATTTAAATATACAATATTTTTATTATATTGATTTTTTTTATTTATAAAAGAAATTTATTTTGATTTAAGTTTGCTTTGATCTTGATATCTTTTATATGTGTTTTGATATTACTTGATATGAACTCACATTTTCAACTTAAAAAAAGTGCCTATCAGATGAAAGATGATCCGGACATTTTATCCCAGCCAATTATCTAAGTCTTATTTTCAACAATTCCAAGTTACTGTTAAGTTTTTCTTCTCTCTTAAGTTTTATCCTCTAGAAATAATTTTTTTTCCTTGTTTTTAATGGATTTTTATCTTGAAATCGGAAAATATTCAGATTTATACCATAGCCAGCTCTAATAATTTATCGTCAAAATCAAGCAAAAGAAAATTACAATATCGAATATCAGTATAGAAGCTAGAGAAGCAACCTCATGCAATAAGTTTTGTAATAAATCAGCTGGTTTCCTTGCAAACAATAATAAAACTTTCTTTAATAATTACAAGATAAGAATGTCCGTTCGCTTTGATTGCTTAGACTACTTCTTACAAAAAAGTTCCTAAAATGACTTAATTAGGACAAGTTTAAGAAAGAAAAAAAAAGTTCAAAATACGCATCAAATCTTTACATTCATACATCTTGTCTAATTTAGTACTTTTATTCAAAATAAAAATAATTTAATTTTTTTGATTTTAAGAATTATTTCAATTTAATCTTTTTTTTTAATAATATTTAATTTTACTATTAAATGTGTTGATGTGACACTAACGTGACACTTTTGACGTCATGTCATTACCATGATAACGTGACAGTGTCATGTGGTATTGACATGATGGCATGACATTAACATGCTGATACCTTAATGTTATGTGATAACGTTAATGTTGTAGATCGAGAAAAAAATTTATAAAATAAATTTGTGTCAGATCATAAGATTAAATTCAACAAAAATATATATTATAAAGATAAATTAAACAAATTGAGGTGTTTAGAAACTAAATTGAAACAAATATTTAAAAATTATAAATCTTTGAGTAGATAATACATACACTTATTAATAAATCAAATATTTAAGTGTAAACGATTTATGATGTTAAAAAAAATATATAAATATTTTCTTATTTAATTATTTGATTTTAAAATAGGTACATTAATTTATCTTTTTTATGAAAAGTAAATTTGAATTTTCCTTTCATAAAAAAATTTTAATAGTTTATTTTAGATATATACTTATAGAATGATAACATCATCATTTATACAAGATCCTAAAAATGCTTAAAATTAACATTTCATTTTTGTAATTATAAAAGGCCATAGTTACTTTTGTCTTTGGCCACCCATCAATCTTCTTCTTCATTCTTTGTTTTTCTCATTAAAAGTTTAATTCAACGATTAATTATTACAAAATTAAGATAATGATGACAGATTTACGTTTTTTAATCTAATTTGATCTTTTTTTTCTTAAATTTTAAGTTAAAGATCAAACAGCTCTCTAATAATAGTGTCTGTATGTGTCTGAGCCTCTTATTATATACATAGAATCTTAACAGCTCTACTCTTTTAATTTTTTATTTATTTTTTATGTTTTTATTTTGTTTAATATTTCAGGTTAT